AGCTGTCCTGCTCTGCATTTCTACCTCAGGCCCAGCCTTAGGGCCTTGAGATGGCCAGGGAAATGGCACGACCTGAGCCATCTGGAGATGGAGCTGTCCTGGCCCCCTCTGCTTATGGCAGCCTTGTGTCACTTACACCTGGTGCTGGGAGGGAGAGGCACTTGCAGGGGGCTGGCAGGAGGGACATTCAGGTGGAGGAAGACGGGAGGGCAGAGCCCATCCAGGGGAGGAGGACTCCGTACCAGAGGCTCGGGTTGGCAGAAAGGGTGAGAAAGGGCCACCTTGGAGGTTCTCAGGGGGCAGGAAAGGAATCTGTCCAAGCAGCAGCACCCACTGCTGGGCAGGGTTCCAGACCCACTGGGCGCCACCTGAGCCTCCAAGTCCTGGCCTGTTCCGGGATGCCCTGCTTGGCTTCCCTCCAGCCTCATGCTCATGGGGTTCTCCCCGGGCCCCTGCCCCATGGAGTTCAGGGCCAGCAGCCTCTCCCTATTGGAGGCCTGGCACCCACCCACAAGGCAGACTTCCAGGGCAGCCACGTCTGGAGATTGGCCTAGCTGTTTGGGGCAGAAAGCTGGTGTCCTCAACCTTTCTACTGATCGAGACCTTGTCTTTGAATGAGAGGCTGAGAGGAGGCTGGGACAGGCACTGCCTTGAAATCCCAGTATCAGAGAGGATTAAGAAGGCCTACCTAGCACCACCTCGTAGGTCAGAGGCTGTGACCTGGGCCCCTCTTGGTCTTCTTCAGGGTCACTGCCAGCCACCAGGGTCAGGTGGCTGGCTCCCCTTAGGCTGCCCTGGCATTCTAAGGCCCAGGTCAGGTTCCAATCAGAGGTGTGGCCCCTCCTGGATGCCCACAGCAGGAGGCAGGGCCTGATGAGCAGTCACAAGTCCTCCTGAAGCCAGAAGCCCTGAGAGGGTGAGCAGGGTGAGCCGATGCCTGAAGAGGAGGGAAATTTCCCCCAGAAGGCTTTCATCTGCCAGTCCCCAACCTAGGCAAGTTGGGAACCCTGGGCTTCACCCTTCAGGCCAGGGAGGCAGCCTCCTACAGGCAGAGGAGACCTCGGGTCCCACTCGGGCCATCCCCTGCCTTCCAGTGGAACACAGTCCCTCCAGGAACGTGTGCGCCTCTTTGCACACTCATAGTAACACACTCCTCAAAGTGTTTATTAAGCACTGACTGCACCAGAGCTTCTTCCAGGAAATGGGCACACAGAAGGTTCCCGAAGGCTAACGGCCTCTCTGCAGCGAGTGTTTTCTTCAGCCAGGATCTGGGCTAAGCCCTTAAGTTAATCTTCCCAATGCCGCAATGCCCCAGGAAGTTGTAACTTCATTTCCCCAATGAGGACGCAGCACAGAGGGACTTCTGGTGTCAAAGGACAGTAACATAGCAAGGTGGTCCCTGTCTGGGGGTTTCCCCACCCCTTCCCCATCCTTCCCTGTGTGGGACTGTCTTCTGTCCTCCAGTGCTGACTAGGGACCTGCATCATTTGTCACCTTCCCAAGCCATGCACAGCTCCATGCTGTATGCCTCTCCAGGCCCGGGCCACGTGTCTGTACCGGTGAGATGGCAGGCACACCGGGCCAGCAGAGCAATGTTCCTTTGGGAATGGGGCCTCCTCAAGATCTCACAAGCCTTCTCTGCCCAGCCAAGGTGAAGCAATCAGAACTCTGGTCCCTGTTCACATCTCGCCTACTCCCTACAATGTTCCAGACCTATTAATTATCACAACATAATGAGAGGCAGGGAAATCTGAGCACAGATACAGTCAGGGGCCTCCTGCCCCAGCCCCCGCATTCCCCTCAGGGTCTCCTTGAAATTCGGTGGTGTGCTGTGTTCCCCTGTATCCCCATCCTGAGGCTCCCAGGGCCCAAATGGGGACACAAGGCCACCAGTCAGGCTGCAGCTCCCAAGAAGCAGAGGCAAGCCAGCTCCTTGGCCTTCGTCTCGTAGCTCTGGGCTTCTCTTTCCTTCTCCGCCCAGCCTAGGCTCTCTGAAGGGCAGTCAGCCTGTCCCTTCATCCCCGAGACCTTCAGGGACAGGAGTCTCTCCCAGCATCCTACAGCACACTTGGGGGCTGTGGGAGCCCAGAGATGGCCCAGGGCAGCCCAGTGCCCTCTGGGAAGAGACTCCTCCAGCACAGATGCCAGGCCTGATGTGACAGCATCCAGAGCCTGCACAGTGCACCGTATGCACACATCTGGAGGGACAGGCGTGGCAACCCTGAAATCCTGGCAGACAGGACTAGAAGGACCTGATTCTGCCCCTCCAAAGTGGCACAGAGACACAGGATGGTGCATCTGGGCCAGAGTACAAAGGCTAAGCAAAGGCCCAGAGTGTTCCAGAGTCATTGGTAAGGCTGGCGGCTTCCAGAAGGAGGGAGGAAGAGAGAGGGAGGCAGGAGGGAGATGGGCGGAGGACGGGAGGGAAGCAGGAAGGCCCTCAAGCTTCTTCTATCTCTATCTCTATCCCTCCCTCTGCCAGGCAAAATATTCTATTAAAAAACAAAACAAAACCCTGCCTTCCCCCTCTTCCTTTCTGAGCAAGAGCTTTGTAACACTAGATGGCTGATCCGAAAATAACTGTTTTGCCCTTAGACAGAGGCGTTTTTTTCACCAGGAGAAGCTGAGATATTTTGAAAGCCACCCCTGAGGCGAGAAAGTTGTGCATAAGGCACTAATTGTCAGCACTCCCAGGAGCACAGCGACAGCGTGGCAGCTGGGGGAGGAAAGGGTGGTTGGTGGCATCCTGGAGGAGGTCCTACCTGGAGCAGCTCCACCAGCCAGGCCAGCGCAGGGGATGGAACTGCAGAGGCCGATCTTACATAACTGGAGCGGGGCTGAACATTTTCAGCAAATTACCTCTGTTATGAGCTCTGCCATAAAATCGCCTCACAAGTGAATTTAGTTTTTCTTCCCTGCGTGCCCAATCAATTAGCACATGAGTAATACCAAGCCCATTAGGACAAACCGATGCCGGGGGAGTTATGTCATCTGCTAGAGAAATGATTGCTTAATATACCAGTTGGCTCCAAGGAGCTCTTAGCCACACACAATCTTGCCATAATCAATAGCAACAGTCAAGTGATGCTGTTTCCAACGAGGACTCTGCTGGGCCGAGCAGAAGCCCAAGCCCAGTGTGTGGGGCCAGGACACTGAGCCCGCCCCAAGTACGGGCTCCTGCCTCTGCCTCCCTCCCACCTTCCCCTCGCCTTTGTCCCCCGCCCCGCCATCCCCAAGCCAACAAGCTGAAGAGAAAGCCAAGGAGAAAGACTGAAATGCTTGGGGAGTTAAGGGAATTCACTTCCAGAGGGGAAAGGAGAGGGGTGAGGAGCTTTCTTCCTATTTCCTAGCAACTGCAGGATGGGCCTTCAGGAGGAACAGCTAGAGACTTGTGTAAGATTAAAGCCCTGGAGCTGAGCTCGTGTGCATGCACGTGTGTGTGTGTGTGTGTGTGTGTGTGTGTGTGTGTGTGTGTATGACAGAGATAGGGAGGGGCAGGCACATGTGTGGCCCCCTGGTACATGTGAGCAAAAGCAGGGATGAGTGATTTCACCACATGCATCTGTTTGCACACACACACAGCCAGGAAGGTCCAGCATGTGGGCCTCTGTGCATATGTGTGTGTGTGTGCAATAGATGTTGAAGCATACACAGGGACATATGAGTGTGTACTGGCACACAAGTGTGCCCACAGGGTCCTATTCCCGGAGAATGCAGCCAACCTGCAGGATTCACCAGCCTGCCATATTAATTTGCTCCAGTAAACTTGGGGCTGAGGTGCCCCAAAGTCAAAGCATTTCCCCCAAATGCAGGGAAGGAGTGGCCAGAAGTCATGGCTGTCAGCCACTGGACTGTGACACCTCAGAGAGCTGCAGCTTGGCTTTGGAGTGGAACCACCCTAGGTTCTGTGCCTTGCCCTGCTGCCTAGGGGACAAGCTCCTTAATTTCCCAGGCAGCAGTGACCTCACTGGGAAAATGCTGATGGCAGGGAAGGGTGGGCTCTGGGGTGGGCCCAGGAGGTACTCAGCAAGGTCAATGAGCAGCCTGTTGCAAGAAGTGTCCCCTGAGTTAGGCTGCTATTAGTGAGCCCTGCAACCTCTTAGCTGTTGGGGTCAGGATGTACACAGACCCCCTAAACCCTCCCCCTCCTTCCTCCAAGGCAGCTGGGAGAACCATTCCATTTCCTCCCAGGTCCTTAGAGAAGACTTGCCAGATCCCAGAGACGAAGCAAACCCCGAGCAGTTCGTGTCTGCAGGCCAGCCCAGGCCCCTTCCTCTGGGCAGCCCCTCCTCCTGGCTAGCAGAGCATCTTCTGGCAAGGTAAGAATGGCCCCTAGGTTAGGCACAGCTATACTCCCCTAGGCCAGGGAGCAGAGGTCTGGGGCCCATCCTGCAAGGCAAACCCAGGGACCCAGCGTCTCAGACACATGAAGAGCTGTAGGCCTTGGAAATGCTCTCACACATTCCCCGCTCTGCCTGCACAGATAGGGGAAACGGTGAGTTAGGGCCAACCCTGGGTCAGACCCAGAGATGGAGGGTTCAAGGTCGGATGATGTTCACATGGCAGTGGGGATAGGTGGGTCACAGCATGACAGGACGGAAGGTGGAGGCAGAGCTAGAAGGGCTAAGTAATAACTGCATGTTGGAGAAATTGAGGTAGTGGGTGCAGAAGCAAGTGTCCGGTTTTCCAAAATGCTGTATTATTTTAGAAGTAAACATACTAGCCCTTCTCCTCCTTGGCCTCGGATTACACACCCACGAAATGGGAGAATAGACCAAGGTGCAGAGCTCTGGGGTTCTGGAACTGGTTCTGGGCATCATCTTGTAGGTGTGGGATGAAGAAGAGACAGTAGAGGGATTCTGGGAGGTGTGGCAGTGTCCTACCCCAGCCTGCTGAGGACCAGCAGGGAAAGGCCCCTCTTCCTTTCTCCATCACCCCAGGGTAACTCAGAGATAGCTTGCTGGAGAGGCAGGAGGTACCCCAGAACACACACCACTTACCGTCCAAATGTGGGGTGCTGCGTGGTCTTCCCGGGCCTCAGTCTCCCCACATCTGCCCCCAAGTGCTTAGAAGGTCCAGTGGTAACACATCAAGGGTATCCAAGTGCTGGCCTGGGCATCACCGTGAACAGACACCACAACAGCCATCCTCTCTGTGTTGAGACTGGGCGGATGGATGAAATCCTAAGGAAATAAGAAATTGAGGGCAGATGTGCGTGACAGAGAAAAAATAATCAGGAAACGGGGACTGCAGGAGGAGATGAAAAGTGGGGCACTTCAGGGAAGAGGGCTGACAGAAAAGGATCTCAGCTTCCTTATCAGTCAGTGGGCAGGTGCCTACCCATGGGTTCTATTAGGGACTAATTGTGGTCCACAGTGTGTTATGGGATTAAAGTCTAGGGCACGAAGGAGACTTGTAGGTGATCAGCATAAAATAAAGGTCATATTAGCTGTCACTATGGTGGGTCAGAACTAAGGCTGAGGTCCCCAGCCGGTCCAGCCACCACTGAACCATGAAGCCTTGTTACCGCCCTATCTCCCTACCTTGCCTCTGATGCTTTCCCACTGTAATATCTTAGCCAAGGGCTCCTGGTCGGGCCCACATGAGCACTAGGGAGGCAGCCCTGAACCTTCTCCAGACCTCTCTCTGCCACTGCTGAGGTCCCTACTCACCTCTGAGAGGGCAAATCACTCCCAAAGTTACAGGGGAAGTAGTATGATGCTGGAAGTAACGTCATACAGGAAGTAGCGTCAGACCGGAAGTAGCATCACACCCAGGCCGCTGGCTCCCTAGGCAGGGATGGAGACTGGGCTCTAAGGCTTCCTCCATCCAAATGGCAGGATATCAGTCACTGCACAGTTCTGAAGGCCTTGGGAGACAGGCAGAGAAGCCAGTTGCTGGTGCTTGCTGGTGCCACTGTAGCTGGGAGCCACCACCTGGGCTCCCATACCACTGGCCTTTGCACCAGATGAGATGAGATCCTTCTAATAGGAGCATCTCCCACCCTGCTGGAGAACTTGGGAGTGTTTCGGTCTCCACTTGCCTAATACGATCCCATCTTTCTGGTCCTAAACTCAAGAGAAAAGTAGCATCCTATGTTAGGGTGCCCATTGTGCCGTGCATGACCTCAGAACTCTTCCTTAAGATGAGAGACCTGGAAGATGATGCCCTAGAGCCACTGTGTAGTGAGGCAGCCCCTTTAGTGGATGTCACTTTACCTGGAAGACTGGAGCACTGAGTTGAGGCTCTCCCTTCCCAACCTGGCATGAAGTCATTCTGGGGCTTCCATTCCCCCCCTCACCTCTATTGTAGAATTCCTAGGTAACTGTCAAGCTTTAATAAATCAGGGATGAGGTTTAGCAGAGCAGAGCAGAGAGAGAGAGAGAGAGAGAGAGAGAGAGAGAGAGAGTAGGATCTTTAGAAAGAGAAAAACCTTGACTTCTAATGCTGAACAGCCACCTCTGTGGTACTAGGTCTTGAGCAAGCTCTCTTCCGAATCTGCCCTTCCCTGGGAAAATAAAACTTACCCTAGGTCTGTTGTAAGGAATAAATAAGCAAGGGAGGTGCTCTATAATTTTCCCTCCTACTGGGCATCTACCATGAGTGATATGTCCCATACCCTGGGAAGCATATACTAGATGTTGCAGTAGCCAGATTCCAGGATGGTCCCAAGTGCCTGCTGAAACTGAAACCCTTCTGCAACCACCTGTCACACTGACCTTTGTCACTGAAGATTTGTGGGAGAGTTTGAGTAGCTTCCATGGCATTGCTTTCTCCTTGTTCTCTTGACCACCCATTGCAGGGAAGCCAGCCGCCATGTTGTAAGGATGACCAGAGTCTCCCTAGGGATCATGTTCCACTTGGCAGGGAGTGGAGGTCACCTGCCAACAGTGAGCACTGACTTTTCAGTAACGTAGAGCCCTCTTGGAAAAGCTTCTTGGGCCCAGCCAACCCTTAGAGGCCTGCAGCCCTGGCTGTCATTATAACAAGAGACTGTGGCCAGAACTATGAGTGAGATATAGTACTTCAGGCAGATGTCACCATGCTGGGCCACACCTGCTCCTCCCTCCGCGCAACACTGCGAGTCATGTGGCCCACAGAGACTGAGCAAGTGCTTGCTGTAATGCTTTGGGATCTTTTATTGGCTGGCAGTAGGTAACGATACAGTCATGGTATCTGCCTCCCTAACCTGGTCTCGGAGGAAAGGAAAGCATGTGGAGAGATGGGCACACAGAGAAGCAGTGGGGAGTCAGAGACCAGCCTCTGCTAGCATCCCGAGGCTCTCTATGGGACAGGGAACAGATCATCCAGCTGCCATTGTGTTCAGAAACCTGGAAGGCAATCGCTGAGGAGTTTCCGGAAAAGCAGACCACACTGTGCTCCTGTGTGAAGGGTTGCCATTAAGACTGGGGTGTGGTAGCACATATATGTAATCCCAGCAGCACTCTGGGAGGCTGAGGCAGGAGGATTGTTAGTTCAAGCCTAGCTGGAGCAACCTAATGACTTAGCGAGATCCTATTTGAAAATAAGAAGAATTTTTTAGTTTGTTTGTTTGTTACTTTTTGTGAGACAGAGTCTCACTATGTAGTTCAAACTGGCCTTGAATTCATGATGTAGCCAAGGCTGGCCTTGCACTCCCGTTTCAGCCTCCCAAGTGCTGGGATTAGGGGCATACACCACCTCACCTGGCTAGAAATAAGAATTTTAAAAGGGCTGGGGATGTAGCTCAGTGCAAAGGCTCTGGGTTCAATCTCTAGTACTGGAAAAGAGGGAGAGGGACAGAGGCAGAGAGGCAGACAGATGGGAAACACCTATCCAGAGCCTGCAGGGGATGGGGGAGTGAGTCTTGTGCTGCCTCCTCTGCTGGGAGCACTGTCTAATGCCAGGCACTGCTAAGCCACCCTCCTGCCTGGTGCTGGAGCTGCAAAGGCCTGGAGGCTTGCAGGAAGGTCTCCTTACTGTGATTTTAAGAAAAAGAGGACTGGGCTCCTTTGCTCCCCTAATGGCCAGGCCACTCTCTGCGTTTCACAGGTAATAGGGCAGGAAATTGCCCATGGTGAATGAGCGAGACCTGTTACCCGTGGGTGGAATTGGGTAATGAGAACTTAAATCTAGGCTCATCCTTGGATCCCATTAAAGAGGCAGCTTGCGAAAATGATGAGGAGGGTTTTAATGTCCACCGATTGGATGGATACCCGTCTCCAGCAGCGACCTCAGACTCATTAACCTCGCTATCCTGAGCGGGCCATCAATCACTGTGCTGTGAGAGGCCTCCTTCCCAGACCTCCCGAGGGGCCTCCCAGAACCCAGAGGTTGCAGAGAATTAAAATGCTGCTCCGCATGGTGCATGCAGCCTGGCAAGTGTAACTCAGTTAATCCTGCAGACCTTACCTTGGCGAAGGGTTCGAACCCTCCTGGCTAATGGGAAAGTGAGCTGAGGGGAAGACAGGCTGCTGGGCCAGCACGGCCCCACTTTTCTCTTCTTCTTGGGGTGCTGTTGGGAAGCAGTGTGGCCCAGTAGGAGGAGCCTTGGGCCCACAGTTGGGGCCAGGGCCCTGGACTGGCTCTGCTCACCTGCCTGTCATCAGGGCATCAAGTCTCAGTCCCTCCCAGGCCGGAGTGTGGAGACAAGAGGTTGCCCTGCACAGATCTCTTCTGATCCTGTCGCTGATCACCAGGGTGCTTCTCCTGTGTCCCACGGTGAGCGCCCCCCGTTTCCCCACCCCAAACCCATCATCTCCTCCCAGCTCCCATTTCCCACGTGTGCTCGTGTTGGCTCTCCCTTCTTTACGTTCTCCAGCAAATCCCATCATCTCACCTTCGAAATTACTTAGGCCACGTGGCCCCCACCCGCCATGGTTGCACCAGGCTCCTCCCACTTAGAGGTCCTGCCTTTGGCTTCCTCCTGCCTGCAAATTCTCCTTTACATCCTTACTTTCCACGCATCAGACTCCTGCTTGGGGACAAGCTGGGGCCCGGCTGGGCATCCAGGCTCAAACGGCTCCCCAATCTGCTCCCCCACTGCTCCCCAACACACAGCCCCAGTCCCCCCAAGGCTGCTCCTTCTCCCACCTCCCTGGATACCGTCCCCTGCTTCCCAGGCCTGTGCCCTGAAGCCTCTCCCATTGTGGCCCCTCATCTTCCTGACACTGGCCCTACCCCCTGGGGATACCCCAGGAGCAGGGCCCTCACCCTGCAGCTTTTCCTGTGCAGGGCCTGGGGCTGCCTCGTTCTGTGCAAATGTTCAGCTGGTGTTTCTTTTCATCAGTGAGTTCAGACAGGGTCTCTGCCCTGGAGAACGTGCCACGAGAAATATGCTACTAAATTTGTATTCACAGAATTTCGAGCAGAAAGGGCCCCAGAGGAGCCTGCCCAGTCCCCACAGAGAGGGAGCCAAGACTGGGCCTCCCCCTCACCTTGTGGGGGTGGCAATGGTAAGGTAAGAAGCAACTCTCATTTCTTTCTGGATCTCAAGCAGCAGGCAGAAAAAAAAAAAAAGCCTGAAGTATCATTAGCTGGGTATGACGAGACCTGGGTTTGGGCCTAAGTGCTGCCCTATTTGCTGTGTGACTTTGGACAAGTCATTTAACCTCTCTGGTTCTTGGTAAGAAAACCAGATTAAATACACTCCACTGCATGCCTTTGTCTTAGTCTCTGGCTCTTCCTCAGAAACCCATTTATTCTGTGTTTTGTAGGGTTGCTGTAGGCCAAAACAAGAGTGGTAGAAGAATACGATCTTGCAGATGACCCTTCAAGCCCCCTACACCCAAGCTGCCCAAAATCTTCCCCCTTCCCTCTGGAGCCTCACTGTCCCGTGAGCACTGCTACCTCGCCCTAGGTCAGCTGGGTCAGCCCACACTGACACCAGGTCCAGGACTGCAGCAAACCCAGGCTGTTCCAGATCCTCCCAGGAATCTGGTGGGGCCCTGGCTCCTTTGGAGACAGGATCCCACAGTGTCCAGCCAGGCGTTTTGCCACCCAGCAGACAGACCACTTCGGACTGAGAAGCCAAGCAGAGGGCAGCATGCGGGGCCAGGTCCCTGCCTGCCAGGTGACCTTGGATGCCTCCTTCCCACTGCTGCAGGAAGCCTAGGGCTTCCTCGTCACCCGTCCCTTTGCCCTCTGAGGCCACTGGGGTCCCAGAGGGCTGCAGGGATGGCGTGCACAATGCCCAATTTGCCAGGATGAGGAGGGCAAAGTTCCATAAACACAGGGCAAGAGGATCTTCCGGGGTCCCTCGTGAGGGACCCGCAGAGCATTCCAGGGCAGCCCCCAGAGGCTACAAGCCCTCACTTTCCAACCTCTTTGTTTTGATAAAAATGGCTGCCCATGATTAATGCATAGAACAGACTTCTTTCCAACCTCTTTGTTTTGATAAAAATGGCTGCCCATGATTAATGCATAGAACAGACGAGGAGGCCACTGGATACTTTCCTGAACAGCACACAACTTCCAGAAACACGGAAGGCCATTAATTATTGATCTTTGGGAGGGAGGAGTACCTCCTAGGAAGGAAGCAGCCCTGAGATCATTCCTCAGGCAGTGTTGCCATAACCCCCCGGGGAATACAGACCACAGGCATGGGAGAGCCGGGCGCAGGTGCACAGGGTGAGCCAGAGGCAGAGACCCTCCAAAGCCAAATGATCCACCTTCGTTATCCCCGTCACCTCCTGTTAGAAAGAGCCCCCACCGCAGCGGCCGACCTCCCCAGTACAGGTGCCTCATCAAATTCCTGTTGTGACCCTGTC